GGGCATCCACCATGTCAAAAGCCCCTACGCAGCCCACCCGAGCAGGATCTGCACGAGACGCACCGCTGCTCCAAGTGCAAAGAGGCTGGGCGCTGAAAGGCCCAGCCTCTGCGCCGCATAGCCTTGCACAGCACTGTACCCGCATAGCATTGCAGATGCGGGAAAAAAGGTATCGTGGTTGCGCCGCCACGGGAATTCTTTGCGATGCATCGCCTTGCTAGTGTCTTTTTGGCTGGTTTGTTGCACTGCAGGACTCCCCTCGCCGGCATCGCATCATGCCTGGCACTTTGGCCGCGAGCCTCGCAATGACCCGTGCATCGCATGCAGCAACAAGCCCAGGCTTGGCTCAGCATCGCTTTGGGACTCGATAGGCCTGGATTTTTCTCGCTCAAGGGGGGCCTTAAGTCGCCCTCCGCTTCATGTTGCCTGTCTTGCTGTGCACTGTCTTTCCCTGCTTCTCTGCCAGGTACTTTCGCGATCATCCTCGAGACGGAGCTCCGCACTGAGGTACCACCGTTGGGTCGGCAGCTCGTGTTGGCCTTGCTTTCACTTGTCGGCTTCAGTTTTGTTGCACCGCATTGCTGCATTGTTGCACTCATGTTCGCCTCAGTTCAAAGCCTGTTCCCAATTAATCGGGCCTCCGTTTTGTATCCGGGCCTCCGGGTCATAGACCCGCAACGCAGAGAATCAGAATCTGATTTATGGCTCAATTGCGCACGCGCGGAAAAAAAACCTAAAGTCCCTAAAGGCTCAAGTACGCAGGCGCAGGAAAAAAACCTTAAAGTCCCTATAAGTTCCTAAACTAAACCAATACCCTAAGCCTTCAAGACTTAATCCTACGCTCAACAACGTAGGGCTCAGGATGTATATAAGTCTTAAATGGGTCAATCATTATAACGGCTAATTAGGATTGTAAAGGCTTCAGGTTGGGTGACTCTGTGGCAGCAGAATGCAGGATCTGGACCGAGAGAGTGCAACCCCGGGAATACGTCATAAACTATAAGGGAAAAAAGCTTCTCAACATTTACAGTCAGTCCCAATGTATATGTCTTAATATTATCGGGGTCTTGCACTGTCTGGCAAATCTGTGTCTCACTGACTGCTACACGTGGAGCTCGACTGGAGCTCGGATTTTCGGAGAGCGCCTTAGGCACCTCCGAGGTGCTGGAGTGGCGGCAATGTTCACAAAACGAAGCATTCAACCGCCTACCTGTTGCTTTGACCCTAAACCCCAAACCCTAAAGTGCCCAGATCCTCGCAAAAGAAAAGAAAGTCTCGGAGTAGCGTAGAAGTTTGGGCATGTTATTAGTCGTTGAGCGTAGGATTCAATCTTGAATGAAGGCTTAACTTAGGGTATTAATTGGTTTAAGGAACGTATTATAGGGACTTTAAGGTTTTTTCCCGCGCCTGCATAATTGAGCCTTTAGGGACTTTAGGGTTTTTTTCCCTGCGCGTGCGTCGTAATTGAACCAGACATCAAACAACTCTTTTCTCTGCGTTGGGGGTCTATGACCCAGAGGCCCGGATACAAAACGGAGGCCCGATTAATTGGGAACAGGCTTCAGAACTTCCGAAAGCTGACGCAGAGCCTGAAGAGCATATGGTTGGTGAGGTTTCACTGACCAGTCCACCTTTTGGCCGGAAGATGCCTCCAAGAATTCTTGAAAAACCTCCCGGAACTCTGCAACCTCCTGATCCGAGAAAAGGGGCTGCTCGGCCTTGGAAGCCACATGCTCACGAAGCCGAAGAGGAGCCTTCATCGCAAAGAGTTTGGACATAAGAACCTGCCGGACCTGACACAGTTTGTCCACGGAACCCGAAGGAGGGAACGACCAGTCCGGGACCGAAAAGATGCCAGCCCCATCTTGATGTGCAAACGGGGGATCAAATTGACCTTTGGTCGGTAATAATTGCAAGAGTTGGTCCAGAGCTACATCCACCGGTGTCTCGGACTTTCGAAAAAGTGGGAGAGCTGAGGACACGTACTTGGATGCCAAGAGCTCCGGAAATTCCGAAGTCTGTTGAGAAATGAAGCCTCCTGAGGAATCCAGGATCCCAGCCACCTGGGCATGAGAACCGTCCGGGTGGCGACAGTCGGCGGCCAGCTGCTGCATGTCCCGGAAAGTAGATGCAAAAGCCCAGCGCTTGTAAATATCCCAACCGTATGAACAAGCAGAGACAATGATAACATCGGCATTGCTCTTCTGAAGGAGCAGACGAACCGCAGGCTCGTCCCAGATCATCGAGTTGGCAGGATTCTCAAAAGTGTAGTGGCCGCCGGCCCTGAAAGTGGCATGGGCTAGTTCCACTGCGCGTGACATGAGTTGTGTGCTCAGTTCCAAGCGAGCCTTGTCAGCAGAAGATAAGCCCGGTACTCCATCCATGTGAGATGGTGTGCGCAGTGGTTTGGGGCCCGGGCCTTTGCGCAACTTGCACCTCGAGTAGTCTCTGCAGGGAGGACTTGCATGCAAGAGAGATATCGCACCCGAAAAAGCCAGGCGAAGGAGAAGCTCGAAGACTGAGTCCTTCGTCAAGTCATGCGCAGCGCTGCGAAGGATGTCTAAAGACATCACCGATATGCCAGCTTGCAAAAAGGCCGCAGACAAAGGCCGAGATGACCCCGAAAAAAGCTCCACGAAGAGATTGCCCTGAACCTGCTGTAGATCCAAAATCTCTGGAGGGCTCGGCAAAGCAGGAGCCGGCCCCAAAACTTGATTGTGCTGTGTCCCCGCATTGGCCGGCATTGGAAAATGAAGATCAGCCAGCCGCGTCCACTCGACCTCCGACAGTGATTGCCAGGTAGCTGAGGTGTAGGCCGTGATCACCCAGCGATCCCCTGACCATGGCTCCGAGCAGTGTGGAAGGCGTCCATCAAAAGCAAAACCAGAGCGCCTGGTGCTGACTAGGACGCCCAAGAGTGAAGAATCCGCCGTAGAGTCAGGAGGAGGAACGCGATCGAGATTCGGGAGACTCTCTGCCGGGAGTTGTACCCAAAGGCGACCCTGGTCAAACGGGCCCAAGCTGCAGGTGTAATGAAAAGCTGGGTGTTTGCCAAGGCATGGTCGGCCATCCGGGCGAGGAACCGGACACAAATGTTCGAACATCCGGAAAGGAGCATCCCTTCTGTGACGAAAAATCCCGGCAGAGGAAACGCGTTTTGCCCTTGTCTTCAAACTTCGTCACCCACTTGGCTCCACCTGTCGAAGACTGGTTGCCCTGACCGCCGGAAGAATGCTTCCCTTTCCCGCCACCCTTATGCTTGCCCTTGCCGCCCCGGCCAGTACGAAGATGGGGCGCTGGGGGATCCGGGCGCCTGGGGGGAGCCATCCGGGGCTGCAGAAGGGAAGCCATGTCCCCGCGAACCTCAGTGAACTCCGTCAGCGCATCATCCAGCGACCAGTTGTGCAAGTTCACCAGGTCACTGATCTGTGACCACAATTGCCTGTCCGCCATCATGATCTCCTCCCCGGAAGGGTTGCGTAGCCCAGTCTCCATCTTCTGGGTAGCAAGGCGGATGAATTTGTGCCCAAACTTTCGAAGAACTGACAAGTGGGCCCCGTTGAGCATTGCCAGGGAAGTCGAAAGAAGCCCCATGATACCTGAAAGGTAGTTGGCCCCAACCTGACCCGTGGGAATCTCGCGTTGTGGTACCTCGTCATACAGGAGATCCTCCAGCTTCGGGGTTTTTGTGGGGCGGCGAAGAGCCATAGAATCTTGCTGAGACTGACACATTCTTATCTGCCACGGCACCCACTTGAGCTCCCCCTTCTGAACGATCTTAGCCGCATAGGCAAGTAATCTTGACGAGAAAAAGTTCTCCGGGTCTAGCACCTCCCCTGGATAACGGGAGTGAAAAGCCTTCTGAAGAGAAATAACCTTCTCTCCCGAAAGTTTAGGCGGGAACTGCTCAGTCCAGCCTGCTGCAGAAGACCGGGCCTCCTCCGAGGATTCTTGCCGTTTGTTTGATGGAACTGCCGAGGATTGCTTCTTGCATGACTCAAAAAGAAGTCGCAAGGAAGAGAGCAAACGAAGTTTGCCAGCCGCCGACTCTGGTTCCTCTGAATTCTCCAGCAGTTGACTCAACGCCGCATCCAGCTGGGATGCTTCGGAAACTATGCATCCAAAAAGGGGCATCAAAGCCCTGGAATATCTCATGATACTCCTGTGGGACTCGACACTCATTCGCCAACGATACCAAATCCGCGTCCAGGGGACAAGATTCTTCTGTCGCCATGTGCTAAAACCTGATCCGCCGAGCTAATGCAGCTAGATGGGTGCTAAAACTGCGAGGCTGTGGTCCGAAGACACACCGGTACGTGATTGTCCTGCATGGCACGGCCCCAGCACTTGCAGAGAACGATAATCATTCGGACCCCACATGCGGTCAGAAGGACTTGCAAGGTACGACCCCACAGCCGAGCCCCACATGCAGTGAAAAATGGACTTGCAAGAAACGACCCATGATTCCTGCTCCACATGCGGACTCCCGCTGCAGGCCAACGAAGCTCGCGGCCGACAACCGCAGTTTTGTCTTGAACCGCCCCGGGTCTGTCCCGGATCTTGTACCCGATCGCCGTCCCCCTCGTGAACCCACTCGCTCGCAGGAACCGAGGGATCGCAATGAAAACGAGACTGAGACAGGTCCCGATCTCCGATCGATCGCCAGTGACTTGCCGCAGACAACCCAAAATCGACGCGGCCCAGCTAGGTCGACCATACGATCGCCTGGCAAGCCTTGTGCCTGCAAAAACGCGGATCTGGCGGCAAATCAGCTAAGACGGTCATAGACCGCGCAATGGTCCCACAACGAGGCTTCACTCTGATTTTTATGCCGTCCGGTCTCGCCACAACAATGCCCTCAAGACCACTATGAGGAGTGGCGCAGTGAATCAACCCCGAGGATGTTTGCACCCAAAGATGCTCCTCTGCCTCTTGCCCCGACACCTTTGTCCAAGAACGCGGCTGCTGGGTCGATGGTGATGACGAGGACGTAGACGAAGAAGATGAATCCACGTCTGAATCCCCAGCTGGCTCCACCTCCTCCGGAGCAGGGATTGGCGGGGCAGGGGGCGCCACCTGAGCTGTAATCGGGAGGGCTGAGATGTCCTCGACAGGAAAGCGTAGATGAGCCGGAGAGGTATGAAAAGACAGCACTTGAGGTTCAATCATCATTTGTTTGGCTGGGCGCAGACCGCCGCGTGCTTGTGGAGTCAACGGCAACCAACCCGAACGGACTTTATCCCAGAACATCTGTTGAAAGGACAGTGCGCCATGAACATCATCCCGGCTGTAAAGCAAAACACACCCATTGGCGGAAGAACGATGATGGCCTTGTAGGCCCCGTTTCTTGAAAGAAACCTGAAGTTGAGCCAGCGAGGCCAATAATGTTGTCTTCAATGAATGCAAAGTGTAATTGCCAGCCTCGTGCGGCGAGAGCCCCGCCGCCACTAATGCACCTCGGAAGGCCGATAACGCCTGGGCGTATGACATCGGTCTCCACTCCATCTCGTCTGACAAAAAGAAGAGAGCATCAGGGACCGTCTCCCCAAAACGCTCCGTGATGTGATCCCATTCGCACCCCAGAAGAAACAAATATTTGCAAACCCAGGAGTGATAGTATGCAGCGGTGTCCCCGTAGAATCCGCAAGAGACCAGCCCAAATGGCATGCCTCGCCGAGAAGACTTGGTGCGATAAGAGATGGCCCTGAGACAGTCCCTGCCGGCCTGCAGCGATGACCATAAGACATGCTGACAGTCACTGAAGCGCAGACTGGCGTTCGCCGCAATCAAGAGTCCCCCGATGAACAGTCGAAAACCGGGCTCCCCCTCCTCACTTAAAAGGAAGCGTTCCCAAGCTGCCAGAACAAAAATCGGGAGTGGCAAAGCCTCCTTGCGATCCGAAAGAACTCTAGATTCAACACCCAGCAGAAGACCACCGTAAAGGTCCGGAAGACGAAGGCGCAAGGCTTTAGCCGCCCAGCGAAGAGCTTTCAGAGCATTGGAGATGTGAACATCCCCCCTATGCAACGACAGCAAAATATCTGCAAAGACCCGAGCTCCAATGATAACTCCTCAGCAACCAAGATGAACTTGTGGACACTGGCCAGATATCTCGTCAGAGTGTTCTCCGAAACCGAACTGAGCAGATTGCGAAGAAGCCGTTCCACGTTAGAAGATGATTCCAGCTCCAGCAGAACATCCGAAATCGGGAGAAGCATGGGTCTGATCAATGCCCATTGACGCATGCATAACTCCCAAGTACGATTATGAGTATCAGCTGAGGTGACCACCCCGAGTGGTCCCCGAGACCTGTAAGGCGCCACCAAGCCTCGGCCGAGCCTAGGGGCAGAGACCGGCGGGGGTGGCCCGATATACTCTCCAGATCCCACTGAGCTCGTAATGATCGCACTGAAACCTGATGCCGGATACTGCACATAATCCGAAGCCCGCTTGGGTCGAGGCGGCTGCACCGGAGCTGCCAAGAAAACCACGGGGCGTGACCGCGGCCGAGGCGAGGGAGCCCGAAGAGGAGTCGCCTCAATCCCAATAAGGGTAGGCCTGCGAGACGGCGAAGAAAGGCGCCGGGGTCGGCTGAACCCTGTGCTGCCCACTGGTCTAGGGATAAACTGCAGTGGCATCAGGCAAGAAACCCCAGGCTCCCGCCGCATGTCCGAAAAGCTCTGGATTGGAGCCGCCTCTGAAGTCTGAGAAGCCAGAGGAAGTCCCCCTAATGGCAATGACCTTGAATTGAGGTGCTCGCCTGTCGCAGAAACAGCCGGATCCATCATCCAAAACCAGGGATTAATCTTCCTCAAGGGACTGCCAAAAGCCAGGAGGGCGAGGAAAAGCTCTCTGGATTGCCACAACCAAATGCTGAAAGCAAGCCCCCAAATGGATAACCCGAGTGGTGAGGCACCCAATCGCGCAGTCACTTGGCTGAAATCTGCGCTGCAAGCGAATATGAGCTTCCCTTTCCTGAGCTTCGAGCCTGGCCACTCTGTCCTCCAAAGTGCCCAATCTGATGCGCAACAAGCGATTGTCCTCACTCAAACGCGCCACCTGACCCTGAGAGCGGATGAGGAGGTCAGACAAGTCAGCTAACTGGACTCTGAAATCCGCAGAGGACTGAATGTCTGTGCTTTCAGTCGTCGGAGCCTCATGCATGGAACTACCGATGGCTAGAGAGTTGACTAACCTAGGTGGTGTCCGTAGCAAGTGAAGCCCTGAGAATCTGTGGAGATATATGCCAATGCTGTGTAAGATGACATGCGCTCAGATCCTAAGACGTGACCTCATGCTCGCAGAACATGTGCTCTTGCTTGAGCATCAGAAATTGCGCAATCGCTGTTCAGGTCCGATCCAACGGGATCTGCTGAACATCCAGCGAGGTCACTCTGAAACGCATCGCTTGTCAGGAATGCACCCTGACTCTGACTTTTGTGGCATTCGGATGCACAGCATGTGTCAACCCGCGCTTGGGCTGTGAGACCGCAACCTTCCTTCGCCCCTCGGAGCTGCGAGGAGGAAAGAGAGAACTGAAAATGAGCCCCTGCCTGCACTGCTGTATATCTGTATGATAAAGGGCAGAAAATCTGTGACCCGAAAGACACCAGGCCCGAGACTCATGAGTCCACATGATTGTGGCCAGTTGCCCTGGCGCCAGCCGCACAACCCTGGCACAAAAGATGCACCCCGGGACAAAAGCCATCAAGGCACCCGAACAGAGCTAACCTTGAAGAAAGCCCAGCCTTACCTAAAGCGTGGAATAACTTTGACCCCGGGAAGCAAGCAACCCTAATACGGCCCAGCCAGCCTTCCAGGACAGCTGAACCAAGCAGATAAGCGCCCTGCCCGAGCCCAATGAGACTCGACAAGATGATTGATTCCTGAAGAGAAGAAAACTGACTCATCAAAGGCTGCGCTCCCTCTGCACCCAAAAGTGTGCGCTTCCATGACCAAAGTCAGAAGCTGGAAAACATAGACCTAAGCCGCTCCTTCATCTCCCTCAGATCGCCGCGAACCTGAACAAGAGCCTCCGCCTGAGTCTGCATGCGGGACTCCAGGTGACGAAGACGAGTGCGCCAGTGGAGCTGGGAGTTCCGCAGCTCATTCTCCAACCTGAGAACTGTGCCCTCCAGAATCATCACCCTTGTCGTCGCAGCGTCCGGAGTCCTGGGAGCCGGCGGCGACCGGCTTCTCGAGCGGCGGGCACGAGCAGCATGGTTGCGAAGGTTGTAACCAGCAACCGTCGCCGCCGCCGTCAACGATGGGCTTTCCGGTGCAATCTCGACGGACTCCTCACCAGGAGGGGCCACAGGCCCAGCAGTGGCAAGAGCCTCAGACTCCCCATCGGGCACCGGCCTCACTTCCGAGGTGAGCCCCCGAGTAGCCCCCGAGTAGCCCCCAGATCCGCCAGGCGCGTCTCCTCCGTGTCTGAACCCTCTGCCGTGGTGTCCAGGATGGGGCCCGATAGGTGCCCAGTTTCGGCAGATGAAGAAGCGTCGGCCATCGGCTCAAGCAGCAACGGCTCAGCAGCCGAAGTGTGGTCTAAGTCAAAGCACTGTGAAATGCGTCCAGTGTGCCCTGTTGCTTAAAGCAGTGCAACATGAGACCACCAAGAAAAAGCTCAAAGCTCTGAGCAAGCGATCGGCTGCCGTGCATAGAACATGGTTCCAAGGAAACGCACATAGTTCAAAAAGGAATCGCCCTAACAGCATGCGAAAATCATGAAAAGCATACGAAGCAAGCAGCAACAAGCCTAAGCGAAAATTGTTGTTCTGTAAAACAAGTTCGAGTAAACACGAATACCTACCCAATACCTACCCCCAAGCCTAAATCGATTACCCTACGCCCTCAATCAAAGAGCCTAGATCCTCGCTGTGTCTCCGTCTAGGGCTTGGACTTCTTGTGTCTAGGTTGAGGGTGTAGTGGTCCGCGTATAGAGCTTCGGGTTCTTGGGTGCTTCGCTTTCGGCTTTCAGTTGCATGTATCCGGCACCAACAAGTCAAACCACAAATGGAAAAAAAAACATCAATTCCTAGCACAAGCTCATCGTCCATGAACCCTAAACCCTAAACCCTAAAGGCCCTAAACCCCAAACCCTAAACCCTAAAGGCCCGAAACCCTAAACCCTAAACCCTGAACCATGACGGCCTCGACCAGAGCATCTCCATCCATGCTGCTGAGCACCTGCTAGGCTCGCTGGGGACTGGATCCCGATAAACAGCGACAAGAGCGGGACCCAACAAGCTCCGACCACTAACCAATACATCCGTACGTACACCATCTACATATCTAAATAAATATATATCTATATATTTATATATATATAGATACATATCTTACATACATACATATACGTATATACGTATGCATACATCTACATGTACATTTGTTAACATATATATATATATAGAGAGAGAGAGAGAGATACCAACAGTACTTCCCCTTTACCCCAGGCCCCCACGAGCGCAGCCTTTCCAGAAATTGGAGCTAGGAGCCACCCCCAGGTTTCGAAGCTCTAAGAAACATCCGAGACAAGGCTTCGAAATAGAACACACGGTTTTGAATTTTGGGGGTTTTGGGTTTAGGCTTAGGGTTTAGGGTTTTGGGAGTGGAAGGACTGCCCCGAAAGCAGCGTCACCTCCAGCCCGAAACAAGTGACAAAGGGGGCCTTAATAAAGAGAACAGGGTTTTTTGGGGCATGCTAGACTAGACTATAATGATAGTTAGGAACAGTAACTTTTAGGTAATTCTTAAGACCCCTACATTACCTGCACTTCTAGATGAAGGTTCCGTATGTTCTTAAGCTCCAAAACCCTGAACCCCAAACGCCAAATCCCTGAAGAACTCTCCACCCTAAAGAACCCGAAACCCGGAACCCCTGGAGCACTGTCGTTTCCAGAGCCGTCAGCTTTGCGTTTTCAATTTCCCCTGCGGCGTCGTCCAGCCTTGGCGTGCAGGCCTTGTAATTTAGGCGCCTTAATAGTTAGAATAGGGTTTCGGGGGCGGTATGCTACAGAATTACAATAAGGAACCCCGGCAGAGTAGTATTTCCAAATATTCAGGCTACTACATTCGGGTTTCTAGAGGAAAATGGCTTTTGACCACAACGGCAGGTTGCACAACACGCGCACAACGGCTGTTCTTGCGTAAAGTTTTTCCGGCCCACAGGCGATGGAGGCAAGGGAGGGTTGGTGAGCACTGCATAGGGCGCTTAGAAGCTGTATTCTGCGGGGTCGTTCGAAACTATGGCCCCTTCGTTCGGGACGAGAGGATGCGCAGGGTGTTCTAAAGTTGAGTCAGGAGTCTCCTTCTAACATGCACCTTCTTGAGTTGAGGCTTTAGGCTTTAGGGCCTAGGGCTATGAGGGCTTCCGGCAACTCGGCCTTAAGGGGCAAATAAGGGCCTTGGGGAGTTAGTTACTGGGGCTTAGCGTAATTTTGAGCCATGAAGTTGAATGACCGGGAGCTTTTCATCTTCGCGAGCTGGTAAGGAGGTTTACGATTGCTTTACCATGATAACTAGTGCCGTCATAACTATTGTAAACATTATTGTCATTCTTATTCAGATTCTCATTATCAGTATTGTTCTTGTTTTCAGTAGTAGTAGCAGCAGCAGAAATACTAAATAAGAATAGTAGTAGTAGTTGTTGTTGTACTTAAAGTTATAGTAGTAGTAGTAGTAGTAGTAGTAGTAGTACTAGTAGTAGTAGTAGTAGTAGTAGTAGTAGGAGTAGTAGTAGTGGTAGCAGTAGTAGTAGTAGTAGTAGTAGTAGCAGTAGTAGTAGTGGTAGCAG